TATTAGAATTGCTTAGATATTTTCGAAAGTAGGAGGTAGTATGTAGGCTTCAAAGCGTTCTTAAATGTGTTAGAATTGTTTATAGATATTTTTCGAAAAGTAGGAGGTAGTATGTAGGCTTCAAAGCGTTCTTAAATGTGTTAGAATTGCTTATAGATATTTTTCGAAAAGTAGGAGGTAGTATGTAGGCTTCAAAACGTTTTTAAGTGTGTTAGAATTGCTTATAGATATTTTTCGAAAAGTAGGAGGTAGTATGTAGGCTTCAAAACGTTTTCAAATGTGTTAGAATTGTTTATAGATATTTTCAAAAGTAGGAGGTAGTATGTAGGCTTCAAAAGGTTCTTAAGTGTGTTAGAATTGCTTATAGATATTTTTCGAAAAGTAGGAGGTAGTATGTAGGCTTCAAAGCGTTTTTAAATGTGTTAGAATTGCTTATAGATATTTTTCGAAAAGTAGGAGGTAGTATGTAGGCTTCAAAACGTTTTCAAATGTGTTAGAATTGCTTATAGATATTTTTCGAAAAGTAGGAGGTAGTATGTAGGCTTCAAAAAGTTTTTAAATGTTAGAATTGCTTATAGATATTTTTCGGAAAGTAGGAAGTAGTATGTAGGCTTCAAAACGTTCTTAAATGTGTTAGAATTGCTTATAGATATTTTTCGAAAAGTAGGAGGTAGTATGAAGGCTTCAAAACGTTCTTAAATGTGTTAGAATTGCTTATAGATATTTTTTCGAAAAGTAGGAGGTAGTATGTAGGCTTCAAAAGGTTCTTAAGTGTGTTAGAATTGCTTATAGATATTTTTCGAAATTAGGAGGTAGTATGTAGGCTTCAAAGCGTTCTTAAATGTGTTAGAATTGCTTATAGATATTTTTCGAAAATTAGGAGGTAGTATGTAGGCTTCAAAGCGTTTTAAAATGTGTTAGAATTGCTTATAGATATTTTTCGAAAAGTAGGAGGTAGTATGTAGGCTTCAAAACGCTTTTAAATGTGTTAGAATTGCTTATAGATATTTTTCGAAAAGTAGGAGGTAGTATGAAGGCTTCAAAGCGTTTTTATATGTGTTAGAATTGCTTATAGATATTTTTCGAAAAGTAGGAGGTAGTATTTAGGCTTCAAAACGTTTTAAATGTGTTAGAATTGCTTATAGATATTTTTCGAAAAGTAGGAGGTAGTATGTAGGCTTCAAAGCGTTTTTAAATGTGTTAGAATTGCTTATAGATATTTTTCGAAAAGTAGGAAGTAGTATGTAGGCTTCAAAACGCTTTTAAATGTGTTAGAATTGCTTATAGATATTTTTCGAAAAGTAGGAGGTAGTATGTAGGCTTCAAAGCGTTTTTAAATGTGTTAGAATTGCTTATAGATATTTTTCGAAAAGTAGGAGGTAGTATGTAGGCTTCAAAACGTTTTCAAATGTGTTAGAATTGTTTATAGATATTTTTCGAAAAGTAGGAGGTAATGTGGTTCTAGTTATGAAGGGTAGTGGAACCGCTTATCCGCTTGTAATTATTATTAATATTTTGTCGAGATTTTTGGATATAATGTATGGAATGATATGAAATATTATATTGAAAATGATCTCAATCTTGCAGAATTAAGAACATAAAACATCTAAACAACTTCGTTAGAGGAATGAATAAACAAACATATAAACATATAGAGAAATAAAAAGTAAATAAACGAACGATTGAATTGATAAATAAGTAGATAGACAGAAGAAAAAAAGGAATATCAGGAATGACACTCGTGCCCCCTCCCCCCCCCTGCAAATTCCTCTGCGTACCCATGTTTAGGAACCTCTGAACTAAGACCAAAAAAAACATAAAAGACACAAAAAGGTTACTGATTAAGTGGGACATGTGAGTGGCCAAGCAGAGACACGCTTGAAGAGTTGAACACAATATCTTCGTCATGAACTCAGTCTGACATTCTGTTCGCTGTGCAGTAGTATATAAAGGAGTAACCGCCATGCTTTGCCACAGTGCAGGTCTTGGGAGGAACAAGTTATCATGAGAACGCTGGTAAATAACGCGTGGTTGTTCAGGATACTCAGAGTTTGGGTGTGTTTACGTGGTGTCTTTGGGTCCGAGGTGAATTTTGATGTGTGGTTGTGTGTTTGTGTATCTGTGTATGTGTGCGTGGATGTGTGTGTGTGTGTGTGTGTGTGTGTGTGTGTGTGTGTGTGTGTGAGAGAGAGAGAGAGTGTGTGTGTGTGTGTGTGGATGTGTTTGTGTATGCTTGTGCCTGTGTGTAGATATGTACACCGATAGAGATAGATATAAGTAGATTAAGAAATGGACAGACATGTAGATACATATAGATAGGTTGATCGCTTATATAGTTAAATTGCTACATCTAAAAGCACCATGTTTGGCTAATAGGATTTAACATAAACACATTTTACATGCAAGTATCAATCCTCGTGCTAACCGTCTATGATTCAACCAGGAAATAAACACTTCCCTTCCACAGGTTGTCTTCGTGGTGCTGGGTGCGTGCTCGGCT